GATTCCCATAACCCCCCCCCCCCCAGATCGTCCAAACACCAAACCAAAATAACATTCCTCTCCACTCACCCCGATGTATTGTCACATTGCACGAGCATCGAAGAGTCTGCAAAACCCCAAAACTACTAATCAGCAAAAATGTTCTCAGCGTGAAGAGTCACTGAAGAAAAAGGGACAGCACTTCTATAAAACACCACATTCCCCTGCCTACCTCAATGACCCTCAACGGACTTGGAGATGCGTTGCATCTTTGTAGAGGCAACAAATAAGTCTATGTGGAACCATTATCTTTCCTTTTTTATTACAATTATCTGATACCACTTGTATAAGTTTTTCATCTGAATTTTCATAAAGCTCACTATAATTCAGTTTTACTTCAGGTATGACTACTGAACTTCGAGGTTAAAACAGCACCATCACTAACAGATACACACTGTTCAAGTGACATTCTAACCTGAAAATATGTGTTATGGAGAAAGTGCGTATGTGCCAAAAACTACTGAACAAACTATAATTCCACTTTCTTCTATAATTATTTGGGAAACTATTCTCTAGAACACATTAGCTTCTATAAACACACTTAGCCGATTCCCGCTGAGGTTATTAAAATTTCTATCTCCTCTCACACAGAATTCTTATCAGAAAAATTATTCTCTGGGGAAGAAATAAAAACTTCTGCCTCCAGAATCCTAATGGCCGTCGCCATTTAGATTACAAAGAGAAAATAAAACGTGCCCACAGTTCCAAACATGGAACAAGATTTATTACATACTTTCTGGGTTAGGTTTCAGTCAAATGATATGACTGTAGGTTCTTCATAAAAAGATATTTTCTTCAGTATTTACGAATATTCATATACCATTTCACAACAACTGTAAATACATACTTACCGATTCTTTTCAGGCATCTTGAAGGCAAATGGGCGTGTTTTTAAGCTTACTATTCTTAGTCACATTTCGCGAAATGTATGTAAACTAAAAACTAAACTTCCTCTCAATAGTAAAGGGAACTAGCACAAAATGAATCTTTAAAATATTTATTAACAAAACTATATATAATAAAAAAATTAAGTTCTTCTTCAAGTCTGCCTTTTCCATTACAGGTTAAAGAGTTTTTAAATTTATACAAAAATCTTATGACCACAAATGTTATAGAAACGGGTTGTTCAAAGGATTTGGTAGTGCAATAATTATTTGCTCCATGACATTTTCGAAAATTTATTTCAAGACTGAATACAGAAGATCAAAAAGAAATGTGTTGATTACCAACATTAACCAATTTTTCTTATATATATATACATTACAAGCATCACAGAAATAACATTCAGAAGAAAAAAAAATATACTGACAATACACTTAACAAATAAATAAAGGTAGATACAAGTTTAGTAACCGGATGTAACCTGTAGCCACTTGACATGGCTTCACCTCATCACACCACATCTACAATTAGCCGAGTGTTGAATAGAAACAGAAGCTGAGCATTACTCTGTAAAACAAAATGTACTTCTGGTAACAGAAAACTCCACCAGTGAAAAACCAACAAGACAGAACAATGCTCAGTTATGTTTAAAAATATAATAAACATAGCACCTCTAATTATAATTATTGCATATAAAATTATAATTTCTCATTTAAACTAATTTCTTGTTATTCAATAGTTTTATTACAATGAACTTCTAGACATACATCTTAGCAGAAGATATGAGAAATAAATCCAAATCTAAAAATATGAAATATAATCTAAAATCTGAGAAACATTTTTCCTAAATTAATAAAATTTACATACATACACAGAATAAAGGCAATTCACAAATATACAATAGCTATAAAAGATACATAAAGACTGATTTAAACTATTAATGAAGCATAATATAGGAATATTAATAGGAACCACTAAATTGTATGTAAACCTCTAAATGAGTATGATTCAGGTTTGAAGACAGTATCATGGTATAGTAATAAGTCTATATAATGCAATTAGATAAACTTAACTTAATTAGTAATTATTCATAATAAAAACTAAATGACTTTGCATCATTTATTTCTTCAGAATTTTCCTATATACTTATGATCATTAATTTAAATAATATTACACAATCTTCTAATCTTAAAACCAGTTGACCAAATACGAGGAATGAAAATTAAAATGAGCATTTGAAGCCATTAATGAGTATGGCATATGTAAAAAGCTTTGTATGCAAACGACATTACAATCAAGTCATTGCAAAAACATGGTTTCTTAAGTGCAAATATAGTAACTTATAAAGTACGATTTAGTGAATCTGTAGTTGTTAAACCTATAATTGGGGTTAATCAAAGTGTAGCTCAAGGAGGTAAACAAAAAACCTAAGATGCTTTAGTAACAAACTAGATGTAGCAAAAGCTATTGATGTTAACAATTTTCTTGTATAATCTATATCTGTTTTTTTTTAAATAGAATATTTACATCAAAAAATCACTAATCTCGTTAGGTAATCTTTTGTAAGTTATTTTCTTTTCATTTTTTTTTTTTACATTTCAATTGATAAACAACATCAGGTTCTTTTCGAAGACATAACGACGCTGGTGCAAGTGTCTCGCTGAACAACAAACTCATCACGTCAAGGGCGCAAGACGTCTCGGAGGCCGCCGCACGTCGCCATGCCAAACGGCCTCATATCCTCGTAGATGCCGCCCCAACCTCGGAGGCTCTTGTTGGCGCCGGCCGCCAACAGCTTCGCTATCTTCTCCTCGTCGCGCTGGTGCGCGGCGTAATGCAACGGCGTCGCCCCGTCCCGATCCCGGGCGTCGACGTCTGCCCCCGCGGCGATCAGCACCTCCACGTCCTCCAGTCGACCGCTGACGGCGATGTGCAGCGCGGAGCGGCCGTCCAGGTGGACCGAGTTGGCGCGAGCGCCCCTCGCGAGCAGCAGCGACACGACCCGCGCGTCCGTTAAGAGCGCCGATATCAAAGGGCACTTTCCGTCGGTGTCGACGTAGTTGATATCGGCTCCGGAATCCACAAGGCGACGGACCTCGTCGGGACTGGTCGTTTTACACAAGGCCTCCCCAAACTGCGAAGGAGCTGCTCGAGAACTCAGCATCCGCCTCTCGACCTCTTTCGTTCGTCGCTCCAGCTGCTGCCTCGCGTGCTCTTGGTCGTCGTCGGCCGCCGCTCCCGCCCCCAGGGCGACGCTGGCGCCAGAGGGGGAAAGGGGCGCCCCTGGCGGCAAGGTCTCCCACCGCTCCACGAGAGCCTCCATGCGCGGGAAAATCCTCAACAGCGCTCTGTGCACGGTCGCCTCCAACTTCCCCACTCTACTCTCCAGCCGTCTCAACGCTTCCTGGTCCCCAGCCCCCACGCTTTCGCTTTTCTCCGAGATCGGTCCCACGCTCTTCTCCAGCCGAGGCATCGACTCGCCCAGGGATTGTCGGATGGCGCTGATGGCGATGTCCCGGTCCTGCAGCTGCTGCTGCATCTGGCGTAACGCCGACGACGCCCTCTCCTCCTGCAGGCGCACGGCCTCCCGGAAACTGCGCTGCGCTATCATCAGCCGGCGCTCGTCCGTCTGCAGCCTGCGCTGGGCCTGCTGCTCGTGCAGGCGCACGGCCTCCTGGATCCTGCGATGGGCCTCCTGCCCGTGCAGGCGCAGGGCCTCTTCGACCCGCTGGCGCACGGTCTCCTCGAGGCTGCGCTGGACCTCTTCCACCTGCAGCCGCACGGCCTCCTGGAGGCTGCGCTCAGCCTCCTGCTCCTGATGGCGCAGGACCTCCTGAACGCGCGCCAGCCCCTGCGCCACCTGGTTGATGGCGTCGCTGAGGGTGACAGCGCCTTTGCTTGAGCTCTGCGACGCCATTTCTCGACGGTTGAACGTGCCTGTAAAGAAACTCAAACTTTAGAATACCTCCAAAACTTCGTGCTATTTTTTTAAAGCAAAACAGCGGCTCCGGTGTTGTAGCGTTTTCGTATCGAACTGTTATGCTAAAATTTGCGGGCTGAAATCCGGTCAAACATTGGCTTTTTTTTAAAGGCCAAAAAATCTTTACACACTTTCTTTCGGACGGGGAGTAAGGCCGGTAGTTGTGCCATGTTGGAGATTTAGTGCATGACAGATGCAGAAGCCTGTGAGCTAAAGTTTAGCCGACTGTTCAGTCGCTCGAATTATTTTGCTATCAGAGAGCGAAAGGAGAGAAGAGAAACTTTCGTGGTCAAAAGGGCAGGGCTCATGGCTTCAGCATCGCACGTTACATAAAGCATCACTGAACTGAAACCGAATCATAATTGTACTTTAAATACTAATCACATTAAGATAATGTTATTCCCCCAGTTTATAATTTTAATTTTTGAAAATACCTTCTAAACCTCAGCAAAGAGTTTAAAAAATATACAGGCTATGTTTCATCATCTGAACACAACACACCCTTCTCCCTACAATTAAATAGTCAAATATTAATTTTTAAAATATATAAGACTTTTATAAAACATTGTTTTATTTTTGTGTTACAGGTATGTGTAAATTCAAAATATTTAGTAAACGTTCAAGAACAGATCGTGCAAGCTTTTTCAACAAACTTTCTAGCTATGATAATCACTAGATAAATGAAATAAGCAATTTCAAAGTAAAAAGAAATTATGTTACTGAAATAGCCTAGTTTGTGATGATTTCTGTAAGCAGAAAAATATCCAGAATTAAACAACATCTAACCATCATCTTCAACAAATTTATTGAATATGGAATTGTTTCAAACCACTTTAAAAACGTTGAAATTGGCCCATCTTTAAATCGGGCAACCGAGACAAGCTACAAACTTCAGACCCCTGTCTTACTATCCAAAGTTTTTGAAAAAGTGATTAAAAATAGAATGGTTAACTATATTGGCACACAAAATAATGAATCCCTTACAATTTGGTTTTCAAGAAGGCAAGAGTACGGAAGGTGCAGGTGACTAATATCATTTGTGATGAAATTGACAAGACTGAACCTGTATCTGTTTATTTAGATGTTGTCAAATGGCAAATTTCGTATATTGCGTTCAGCCAGAAATCATCAATTTAATGTGAACAGAAAAACTGTATCAAGACATTGTAAAAATCACGTAAATAAATGGATATACAATGCAAATAGTCAAGGAATACACGTTAGCAGTGCGACCTGTAAACAAAAGTTAAGTTCCATGGTTGCATGACGGGAAACAGGGTCCCGTGGAATAGATATAAGGAATGTATTGCGGTGATGGTCTTTGAGAAATATTCCAATACTCTTTCTATCTCACGCCAGCAACAAGACCAGACCTATCAACGAGGCCAAGAACCTCCTACTAAAAACTGCATTTATGTTGGTAGCAAGCAGATCACTGAAGTAACAAGTGAAAGGGAAAACACTTCTAGCATCTATTATGATTGTGGTGAGTACACAATTTACTTTTTTAAGCCACTACAACATAATGCCTGTTGCAGTCAGGACGGTGCCACTACGAAGAGACTTTCCTAGCCCACTATCTTTTGATGGAAAAATTCAATATTGTGGTTGTAGAAGAAGTCGAAAAAGCGAATCTTTTGCAATTTAGAGTTAACAGTAAAAATCGGACCTTTGCCATCATTATAAGTATGTTCTATACTTATAAGAAATTAAAAAAAAGTCATTATTGAGATAATTCTGAAAATGTCCCCAGAGCTTCATGTAAAGTATCCCAAAAATCAATGAATGTTTTTCAAAATCGCAGAGCTTCGACTCANAAAAAAAAAAAAAAAAAAAAAAAAAAAAAAAAAAAAAAAAAAAAAAAGCCTTCACGATTTGGCCGCTAGTGTCCGCATTCACCGAAAAGAAAATTACGAACGTGTGTGTGTATCTATCTATCTATATATATATACATACACATAATCACACACACATTAACTTTCGATATTAGGGGACCCCAAAACATGGATTTCCGTTAATATTTCGAAATTTGACTTTCCGCAGGATTACAAAACTTTCTCCATACTACGTATATTACTCCGTATATACGTACGTACACGAGAAAGTAGTAACCAGTTTACAGGATCTTGTCAAATGTCAAACCACAATTCTGTGTAAAATTGCATGTCCACATACGACAGGTAGCATGTTGTATGTCGAAACCCATAGACAAATGAGAATAAAGATAACATTTTAGAACTGGGAAAATTTATGAGCATAGCGGACAAATAAATGATATTTCTAGGCCAATATTATGAGAACTCTCCCTCTCCCCCCCCTCTCTCTCTCTCCATCTCTCTTTAGGGCCCCAAGTTAAAGACATGCCATTAATTAGTTTTTGTACACTAAATTTTAGGAGTGAAAACCATTTATTACAATAAATAATTACAAAAAATAAATTATAATTCTTGGAATTTCATGACAAAATTTAAAATTTAAATTTTGATCTTTTCTACGCGTTTACAAATTTATCAATGACAGAAATATTTTGCTGCATAATTT